GACACTTTGTTCAAATCGCGGTGAAACACAACGCCATTATCCTCCGGGTGACACAAAACCCCAAACTGGAGGAGGGTGTCTTTACTGCACGGACAGATGCGTCTTTACAAACCGTGGCTGTGTGCGTTTCCCACCTGGCCGCACGAGCACCTGCTTTGGGTTTGTACCTCAGGACCTATTGCCTCCCCAAAAACAACAACAGCCGCCATTCGCCACTAAGCGGGGGTGACGTCACCGCGGCGCTCGTGCCAGGCTGCGTGCACGTTGAGGCCAGGTGAAGTGTCGAATGCCCGCTGGCAGGAGGCCACGGGACAGACCCAGCAGGTGGCATGGGTCAACTGACCGAGATGACCGGCCGACGCACCACCCGTGCCCCCTACCATGCCAACTCGCTGTGTTTTAGCCACCCGGCGCCCCGCTCGTTATTCGTGATGCTAAACTGTGTCAATCTGAAATATAACGACTCTGAATATACGTCGCGCCCGTAACATCACAACACGGGTCTCAGAGCGAAGCTTTTTTTTGCCTGGGGGGGGGGGGGTGCTCCCCCCTTGACGGTGGCAGCTGTCCCTGTGCGGAACAGGGTGAACACTGTCACTGACCAACCTCGTTACAATGCAGGGACACACACACACGTCGTGTACCTGTGTATGCATTGCCTGTGTTCATTATTTAGCGGCTCGTTGTTCTGTAGGTGTCCTGCTGTTAGCAACCGAGTTCGGTGTGAGGCTTTCCTGCGCCTCGACATTGACTAGTTCATCTAACGTTGGACTTTGCACGCTTATCAAGATGGCCTGCTGTATGATGCGTATATCCGGAACTTACAGACCAAGGATAGAAGTGCATTATTAAAATGCTCTCTCTCCTAGAGTGCTGAATTATTATTTAATTATATGATTTATTGCAGTAATACCTTGGGGCGATTTCACAACGCATATGTTTTTTACATATTTGCTGACAATATAATTTACACGTTTGATATTCCCTTTACTCTCATACCATAGAATTGTTTCCACTTTCAAGATCTTGCTTGAAAAAAATAAAGAGGCAAGTTAAAAATAGTTTTGCTGAGAGAAAAATAACACCTCAATATTTTGATCAACTGACCCTTTCGTGCAATTATGTTTTCATGCGTGTACACGTACACACTAAGTGCAGATACACGCATAAGCTTATATACTACTAATTCTATTCTTATTTTACCAGGTAAGGTCCGCTGAGGTTTATAGTTAGCTCTTTTCAGAAGTGATCTGGCCACAAATGATAGCTCAACGAAGTGGCTTATTACGTGGAAAAGTATAGCAGCCAAATAATCTAAACGCACGTTGCTAAACTCTATGTTTCTATAGGAAGAGCTCCCAGGGTGCACTGACTTGCACCCATGCTTGTATGCTGGGCTGGTATATTACAATGTGGTGCAATGTTTATTATATTACAATGTTTAGCACATTGCACTACGAACCCTGCGACCCGAGTTACATTTTTCAAACAACAACACAAAATGTGTCAAACGTGTCGAAAATCACTCGGCCTTTGAGCATTACGCAAAAAAAAAAAAACCATCATCAGCAAATTTCCTGAAGAAGTGCAGTGTGGTCCCTCTAGCCGCTGAGTTGACCCCGTCCGTTGGACCGACATCTGCGACGAGTGAAAATCTGAAACGCGTTTACCAAACCCACGCCGACCAACGCAGAGAGTGGCACAGCTGTCAACCCACATGAAAAATTGAGTTTTTCAAGGTCATACGGCGTACAGCCGTTTCAACACGGGCAAAAAAAAAAAGTTTTTTGTCCATTTGATTGTGTTCCTCCCTTGTGATGGGACTTTGTGGGATGAACGTCGAGATTTACAAGAGCACGGGGTGACCAATAAGGTCTCTCTGTAATAAGGTAGAGGGATGCACTGGCAGGTATGGAGGGGGGGAAGCCCTCATCCAGCAGTGGATTGACAAAAGGGCCGCCAGGAGGTTCACGGACGCGTTACGGCTCGCCTAAGACTCGACTCTTGCGAGCCGTGCGTTTGGCACCCCACGGGCCTCCCCCCCCGCCCCTCCACCGCCTCCCCACCGTCATCGTCGCCGGCTCGCTCGCCTCCAACTCGGTCGCGTCACGACGCTCGCGCACCTTTCGGCGCGCTCTCAAAAGCCCGGTTGGACCGGTCAACCGTGCGCGAAGTTCTTTATTTTCAATTCCAACCTCCACCAAACCTCCCCTCCCTCCCTCCCTCCCTCCCCCTCCGAGCCCTGCGGCGGCTCCACTCATCACGCTAGAAGCGCGCCGCCGTGGAAAAGTGACGTCCGCACGCGCGCGGCACAAAGGGGCCCTGATGGAAAGGCGCGCGGCGGCACAGCGAGGCTGCAGATGATTGCGCGCGCGTTAGGAGCGCGGACAAACTGGAGGAGCCACGTTCTAATGACGTCAGTCGCCCCCCCGGCTCCCATGGCAACGGCGGTTGCCGTGACAACGTCCTCTTTAGGTGGTGGTGGTGATGATACGGTTGCCTGGCGACCGCTGACACAATGTGTGTTTCGCACTTTGCACGAAGTGAAACCGAATTCGGCGTTATTCCCCAAAGTCTGCGCAGAACGGCCGCAACTTGAAATGCGTTTTTCTGCTTTTCATTGTGTGCAGGGCAGCCGATTTAAATTGCTATTTCCCACATTGTTTGGCGCATTAAAAAAAATGTTTCCTTTTCGGCCGGTTTCATTTTTTAATGCCGGAGCCTATAAAAAAGCCATCATTTCGAATTCGATTTGAGACCAAAAGTTTAGCATTGCAGGTGTGCATTTACAAATGCGCATTTTATATATTTTTTAAATTCCAAAATCTCACAGCCTGCCAAATGTTACCATCCCATTCGACATCATTCCCACATTGTTTAGCGGTCTATTTAACCACCGCTTAAAAAACGTTTGCATTTCACAGCGCACGCAATGGGCTCTCGTGTGTGCATATTTTAATTTGCAACTCTATTCCTGGCATCCACATGTGTTCTTGGCCGGGTGATCTTTGCCGGTTTGAAGCTCGGCCAACTTTCCTCGGCGGGGTGGGGGGGGTTCCCGAGTTCAAATCCCGACTCTCAGCGTCGTTAACAAACAGAGTTCAGATCCCCTGTTCCCTTTGCTTTGAGGTCTGGGCAAGGCCTTCTACGTAAAAAAAGAAAAACACGTGTCGCGGCGAGCGTATTGTTGCGTTGCTGGCCCCGCTCCGCTTTGTAAGACAAAACAAACGAGGGAGCTCGCAAAATCGCCAATTTGGCTTGCGTAAAAATGCCACAGCGTTTTTTACGTGAAAGGGAAACTCGACAGTAATGCGGCTTTTGATTTTGAGAAAGAGAGTCGTCGCGCCTGGCGCGAGAGTGAGGGAGGGGGAGAGGGTGGCCATCCGCTAAAGGCTCGAGCCTAATTACGACTGCTACTACCTTTTTTATATTTCACCAGGTAAGGCCCCCTGAGCTACGTAGGTCTTTTTCAGAAGCGACCTGGCCACACATGATAGCTCAACGAAGTGGCTCATCGTGTGGAAATGTGTACTCAATGAGCGCACGTTGATTCGAAATGTGAAGGGAAAAAACCGGAGGACCTGGACAAAAATCCACGCGACCACGGGGGAAGAGAGAGAGAGAGAGACATGCAGACTTCAAATATACAGTCGGAGTCAGGGTCGGGATTGAACCCACAACCTCATGCGTGCCAGGCGAGGCAGTCAGCGTCTCGCCACGGCGGCGAGATTGCCGCTCTCCCCCTCTCTCTCTGCTGCACCGCTGCAAACGCGCCCACGAGGTGCACTTGGCAGACGGGGGCACGTTGTCTGTGGAGACGTTGCAACTGCGACAGGATGACGCGAGGCCAGGGTGCTATAAACGTTTCGCCTTTTGTGCCGTTACGGCGTTCGGCGCGACCGCGGGCGTTCGCGCCGTTTGTGCACGCGCGCGCGCGCGCGCCACTTCCGCGCATTTGTTAATGCTTTATAATTTAATAAGTTTCGTGGTGAGTGATTTTAATTCGCGTCTGTTTTTAAGGCATTTACATTCACTTGCTACAAAGGTGCAGTTCAGAACATTTAGAAAAAAATTCGCTGCGTAATCGCGAACACGTTTCAAACTAAGTGCTCTCTGCGCTCGCATCACATCTTTATGGAACAAGATAATTAATGACGTATGAATTGTGTTTGATACATGCGCGTAAGGTGTGAATGAATCGATGACTGCATGAATTAAAAACGGCTTAGCTTCAGAGATCAGAAGAGATCGGGCACACTCAGGGTGAATTAGAATTCGTCTTTTTTATTTTCTCAAGGTCATTCATGGAGCGGTGATGCAACGATTAGCATGCTGCCCAGTGAACCCGGTAACCGGAGTTTGATTTCGGACTGCGATTAACATTGGTGGCAAGCGTTATCTGATCCTCGTCGCCTTGACCAACCCGCACGGACCAGCAAGGTGAAGCAGGGTCACGTGACTTGCCATGGTCCGCACGGTGTTGGTGTCATGTGACCCCCACGACCCTCACGCGGCGTGGGGGTCATGTGACTCTGCCTGACCGCGTAGGGGGAGGCCCTCGTAAAGTGTAGCGGGTCAACGAGGCCTGTGGATGGCACGCACACGTTCGCATCAAAATGAGAATGGAATTACGAAGCACCGAAGTGTGCGTGCACGTGTAATAACTGCCCCGTGGAGGCTCCAATTGTGGAGGCATTTGGCAGGACGATGTAAAAAAAATCCGGCGTCTCCCTCCGATGTGTTTCCACGTTGCTTGGTGCGATGTCCAATGGTTCGCCCCAGGTGCTGGGAGTTTCTTCGGCAACTCGAGTAGAACGCCCACATTTAATTCGGTTTCTTCAACAAGCTCCCGGCACGCGGCGTGAAAAGATTGGGGCATCTTTCCAGCCGATCAACACTCGGTGGCCAACCCACGTGTATACAATGTCGGGCAAAAAAAAAAAACCTCTTCACAGACGTTGCTCATCCTTCCCCGCCGCCCTTCCCCGCTCTCTCGGCAGACTACCTGTCGAGCCACGGGCGACTGAGCGAGCGCGAGGCGCGACGGAAGTTCTCGCAGATCTTGGCGGCCGTGGGGTTCTGCCACCAGCACGGCGTGGTCCACCGCGACCTCAAAGCCGAGAATCTGCTCCTGGACTCCAACATGAACGTCAAACTTGCCGGTAAGAGAGCTCGCACGGGGGGCTCAAGCCGTTGTCGGGTTTGTTTTTTTATTTACCGGTGGCCCCGTCGGTCATATATTAAAAAAAAATTATACCAGGTAAGGCCCCACTGAGCTATATAGTTGTTTTTTAGATGCGACCTGGCTATCACAAATGGTAGCTCAACGAAGTGTTTTTTCACCATTGGAAACCTCATTTGGCAGTAACAAAATATGATAATTGTTTTTTTACCCTTTGATCTGGCAACAAAACTGACACCTTTTTTTACATCGAGTCATGTTTACATTGACCACAATACCTGCGGTCGGAACGCAAACAAAAAAAAACAACTCTGATAATGTATGCACTGTCCTTGAAATTGATTGGTCCACACCCGAGACAGCTTTCTTTAGAGCCTCGTCTCACATGGTGTTGGACCAGAAGACGCCAAAAGGCGCACAACTCAAAAACAATGCACCACCAGAGTATGAGAGCTCGGGGTAAGCATTTATACTCTGATGGTGCATTGTCTTTGAGTTGTGCGCCTTTTGGCGTCTTCTGGTCCAACACCATGTGAGACGAGGCTCTAAAGAAAGCTGTCTCGGGTGTGGACCAATCAATTTCAAGGACAGTGCCAATACATTATCAGAGTTGTTGTTTTTTGTTTGCGTTCCGACCGCAGGTATTGTGGTCAATGTAAACATGACTCCTTGTAAAAAAAGGTGTCAGTTTTGTTGCCAGATAAAAGGGTACAAAACCAATTATCGAAGTGTATTTTCATCGCGTGGAAATTCATAGCAGCTCAATAACTATAAACGCGTGACGTTGATTCTAAATGTGGAGGAAAAAATCGGGAGGACCTGGAGAAAAATCCACGGGACCACAGGGAGAGACACGCAAACTCCAAATATACAGGAGTCAGGGTCGGGATCGAACCCACGACCTCCTACATACCAGGAGAGGAAGTTAACATCTCGCCACCGCGGCAAGTAAAGCCGCCACGCTCTCAACTGCTACGACTTCCGGCGTTGCCTCTGTGTAAGCGGTGGAAACGGCACATTCCTATGGCAGAGCACAGTCGGGTTGGTGCAACTGTTGTTGACTTTTTCAGTGATGCAACTCGCAAGGAGGGGGGGGGGTGCCCATTACAGAGTAGAAATCATGACGTTAATTGTGATGACTGCAATGATAAATATCGCGATGTATCTTGATGATACAGATAATGGTGTTGATGATGGTTTTTGCCGATGAGGGTTATAACGGTGATCGGGGTGATGATGATGTCATTGTGATTATGCACTCAGCAAAATTCTGGCTGAGATTTCAACTAGCACCCTTGTATTTTATGGGCCCACGACTACCTTTCCAACTGAGCTGTAATAAACACGCTCGCATAATCTTTGCAATGCTGTGCACTTTGTAAGTAGACAACATCCAGTAAGCACATCGATACATACCCTGTACTCGAGACAGAACCACGTTTTATATACACTCACACACAATAAATCACAATTGCTACGACAGTGTTCCATCCGCTACTTAATTTATCATATATTTTGACTATTTTTTCCCCACTTTCGCAGACTCTCCATTGGAGCACAGTAAGACCCATGTCCGAATTCCCGTAAATATTTATGCGTTGACACGCGTCCAGTATTTTACGGAACCTTCCGAGTTTCCATTGCGTACGCGCGCGCTGGGCTAACAGCGGCGGCGGGGGGGGGGGTTATAATTACCGCGCGGGTGTCGTCTGCAGTAGACACGGCGCGTATTCGTTGGCAATTGAGAAGTTGATTGCGAATGAATGAGAGGGGTTTGTAAACGAACAGAGCAGGTGGTAACTGCGTCACTAGGGGACACATCGGGTAACCTGGCCGTGGCTATATCTTTTTATCCAGATTGTAATCCTATCGTCGAGACCAATGCGTATTATGGTACATTGACCTTTAACCATCAGCAGTTTCTCTCCTTCCAAAACATTGGAAGAACAGTGTTAGGGGGAGCTTGGGGGTGGGGGGGGGGTAGTGGTGGGTAACAGCATGAAAATGTTTAACTTAAGTACGTTCCGTTCCTACGTACGGTGCGAAAGAAGTTCAACATACAGCACTTTGTTTTCGTAAACGTGGCGGTGCTGCTGCTACGTTGGCAGTGGCGCAGGGGAAAATAAAACCTCAACGACGCATTCATCGACAACACTATGACCTAAATCGCTATGAAGGACCATTGGGCGAAACGTCGTTTTGTTTATTTTATATATTTTTTAAAAGCATGAATTTTGTGTTGTTTAACAAATCGATTGGAACATATATTTCCCCCGAAACGGTTAACATCAGCCGCGTTACAAATTTGGCTTAAGCACCGTTTTTACAACAACAAAAAATGAACACGTTAAATGGTTTTTGTTGTTGTTGTTGTTTGCTTTGCTCGTTCTCTCTCTTGGCGGAGGTAATGCGCGCGCATTACGTTGATGTATTACGTTCAGATGGAAGTGTGGAGGAGTGCGCCCAGGGGTAGGGGGAATACAAAGCTGGTGCACTGTCGGCGCGATCATTGCACGCCATTAGGGAGTGACGCCTCCGACTAGCGCGGTTGGCTATGTACGGTACAAAAGAAGTTCAGCATACGTACAATTGTAGTGGTTGGGGAACTCTTCAGCCACGTCTGGACCGTTCGCAGCACTGCATTCAACCACTAAACTCTTGCGACCTTTGTCAGTGCCCTAGAATGATCCCTTAAACCCCTAAGCCCGACTCATTTATTTATTGGAACCATACCCGCGGGCGCATAGCGTTGGCCGCGTGTTTCTCCATTATTCACGACTTTAACTTTGTGTCTTTCCGCGAAGGCGATTAGTTATGGGAATGCTTGGCTCCTGCCACGGTACTGTGGAATGTCTCACCGCTGGCTCGGTGCTATGAGGGTCAAATGAGCAGCAACCTTTTTACCACCCCGAAGGTCGTTCACGCTTTCCACCTTTTTCCTCGAGCGTTTTACCTCTGCAAAGGTGCTCGCTCCTCACTCCCCCATTCGTGGTCAATCCTGGGCTGTCTTCCTCACCTGACCCCGACTCAGAAACATCGGTTGTGTTATTGCATACTGAGTAAATGTGGTGGTGGTGGTGGTGGGGAGCGATAGTGTCGCGGTTAGCGCGCTGCGCTACGAACCCGGCTTCCCGGGGTTTGATTCCCACTCACTGCCAACACCAGTGACGATTATCGGAACCGGGCCTCCCCTAAGTTACCGAACCGGGCCTCCCCTAGGTCGACTCAGCCTCAATTGATTGCCTGGCGCGTTCGGAGCGTGGTGCTGGCCACCCACCCCATTGTGGTACCGTGCCGGCCTTCACAGGCGCTCGCAAACAGCACTTTCCCCAACAGCCTCTGGGAGGCTATTACTGGGTTTCTTTGTCTGCGCCGAGGTCAAGTTTTGGGGTTGGACTCATAAAAGCCACGTGGGTACAGCAGAGTTCAGTCGGCGGTCATACGAACGGCCGGGTAAGAGGAGGGGGTGGGAGTCTTCGCTCACGTGTTGCTGTTTAGCTCTGGCTGCGCGGCATCGAGTCAGCGGGTTATACGGCGGCGGCGGCGGCGGCGAGGAGGAAGAGGAGGATTGCTCGAATTGCCTCCTTTTGTGATGGCGTTAAAGCGGCTCGCGTGCGCCTTTCCGCTTTCCACTTTCGTTGCACCGCTCGATGTGCGTACGTCTGCACGCGTACGTTGGACTTCTTTTGCCCTCCCCCCCCCCCCCCCCTTTGTACGTAGCCAACCTTTGCTCATGGGATGTGTAGGAGAGCGAGGGAATGGCCGTTTCCCTAGACAGGGTGTTTCCACTTAATGTGTTATTAAAGTAAGGTTTTATTTCAAACAGAGGGGTAGGGGGGGGGGGGTGTCACGTCACCTCTGGACCACCACCCTGTGTAAGCATCATCTTGTAAACAACAACAACAGCTGACGTGATAATTGGTTTTTTACCCTTTTATCTGGCAGCAAAACTGACACCTTTTTTACAAGGAGTCATGTTTACATTGACCACAATACCTGCGGTCGGAACGCAAACAAAAAAACAACAACTCTGATTATGTATGTGGCACTGTCCTTGAAATTGATTGGTCCACACCCGAGACAGCTTTCTTTAGAGCCTCGTCTCGGGTGTGGACCAATCAATTTCAAGGACAGTGCCACATACATTATCAGAGTTGTTGTTTTTTGTTTGCGTTCCGACCGCAGGTATTGTGGTAAAATGTAAACATGACTCCTTGTAAAACAAAAAGTGTCAGTTTTGTTGCCAGATAAAAGGGTTAAAAAAACAATTATCATATTTTGTTACTGGCAAATGAGGTTTCCAATGGTGTAACAGCTGACGTGCTTTCGTGTGTGACGTGCCATGGTGGGTAAGTGATTCGTATGTGTATGCACGTGGAACTTCTTTCGCGCCGTACGTAGCCAATTTGACACGGCCCCGCCAATTTGACGGATTGTCACAATTTGAGGTTTGTGATTCGAGTCGAGAATCGATTTGTTTTTTTGTATTGTGTTGTTTCCCACGTGGTTTACGATCTCGTTTGTGCGGTCGTTGGTCCACCTCGTTAGTGTGTATATTTTACATCATTTACCGCTCGTCTTGCCGAGCCAGGCAGCAGCGTGGAGGTGTAGTCCCGAGTTCTCGATGTTATAACTACGACGACTAATAATAATTATTTATGAATTGTCTAACGAACCACTGAAGTGTTTCATTCACAGCCTCTGCGCGTTGTGCAAAAGCCGTCAGCAGTTGCTGGAAAACTGCATTGTGCTTCCCTTGTCGTGGGTTACCATCAATATACAGTTGTGCACATGTGACCTGCTGACAACAGCGGTGATACCAGAGATGGATAACTGTGGAACTGATTTCCCCTTAGTCGGACATCTACAAATGTTTTTAGTTTTTTTTTCCCCCTGTAAACCTCCTGCTGTAGCGACGTTGGCACGTGATTTGCATACGTTTAGCAAAAACAATCGTAAATAATGGATTCTCACTCGACC